TATTTCCATAGTAAGTACTCTAGTGGAGACACCAGACGTTTGTACTTGAGATCCTGCTATGTGAATCATTTCGATAATTCATTTAGATCGTAGTTGTATAAAAGCTTCTTCGGATTTCGGATCTACAATTTTGCCTTAACTCCCACAGTGGTCGCCAATTTATTGAACATATTTTAACAAAAAAATGAAGTAAAATTCAAATATATGAATCCAAACTTGATTTTATGGACTTAAAATGATGGATCTCTAAGCTCCGGAATTAAACAAAGATTTAGAGGGTGTTTGGGAAACAGCTTTTTGAAGAGCTTTTAGCTTATTGAACAACTTTTAATTATTTGACCAGTCAAAAAGCTAATTTAGGTGTTTGGTAAATTAGCTCTTTGAAAGAATTTTTTGGACCAAAAAAACTATTTTCTGAAAAGCTCACTTACTTAGCATTTTGAAATAGCTTTTTTATTTTAATTTTGGTTATTCCTTATTTACCCTTAAAACTTAATTATTTATTTTACACATATAAATATATTTTTATAGCAGTATTTATTAATTATTTTTAATCTATTTAATTTATTAACTTATATTTTTATTTTTATAAATTTAAAATAATTACTATTATTAATTATTACATATAAATTATTTTATTTGTAAAATATATAAATTTTTATAACTAAATCAAATAGAAAAAACAAAGGCTATTAATTTATTTATATACATTAAAATAATAATTAACATAATAAAAATATATATACAAAAGATTTATTATTTTATATTTTATATAATTTCAATAAAAAATTATTATTTTTTAGTATAAATAATTTTTTCAGATCTAAATAATAAAAATAAAAATAAATATTTCATAATATTTTTATAATTTTCAATAATTAATAACAAAAATTCTCATAAATTTCAAATCAAAATGAACAAAATTAAAAAATATTTTCAAAAATAAATATATCAATGTCCTTAATAGTCATTTTATGTATAAACAGCTAATGTCAAACAGTTGTTTTACCAAACACTTTAATACAGACCGCTAATTGAACCAGCTAGTCAAACAAGCTAATTGAATCAGCTAGTCAAACCAGCTAATTGAATCAGCTAACAGCTAAAAACTATTAGCTAATTGCCAAACGCACCCTTAAAATACAAAGAACAAAATTAAACAGTGATATCCAATAGATTTTCTTTGAAATTTGTATTTAATTTAAAATCCCTCGTGATGACTCCAAATATCAGCATATTCTTAGGCTGACAAAAATGTGTATTACTTGAATTTCTGCATAAGAACCATCAAAATAATTCGTAATCGGCATACAATATTGATTTATATCACTAGGCATGATCCAGAATTCGTTGTTGAGACTATTAACGATTTTTGCCCTCTTAAGCGGTATTCTGGAGCCAGAAAAGCTAAGGCAGACGCCACAAGCGACAGCCGCCTTCGCTCGCAAGCGCCCAAGACACACCTTGAAAACACTAATGCATGAGAGGCAAGCGGCCACCTTCATAGCCGCAAGCGATAGCCTCTCCCGCTTGCAAGCTACAGTCCAGATACCCGCCGCTGCAGACTATCACCAGATTTCAACTAAGTACTTCAAATGCAGCGGTACAGCCATTCCAATTCCAGCTAGCTCAAGCGAGCCGAGCTACGCTGATGCCCTCCTGCTCTCCAGCAAGCGAGGAAGATCTGTGCCCTCAACGCAAGCGAAGCGGGCACCTTGGGAGTTATGACCAGCAACAACTTTAACAGAATAACCACCAGCAACCGCCTAACTGCCCAACCGTTGGAACTACCTAACAACTTCTTGCAACCGTCTCTTTACACCTGCTATAAATAGGGCCAGATATCTTTATGTAAGGGGATCGAATTCTTGGATAATTTCAGAATATACACAGCGCTCGTCGTCTTCCTGTTTCCGAGAGCTCCAACCCTGTAAGGGAGTTCTCCACAGGAAATGCCAAGGGAGTGGGCGTCTTCCCTCTCCCTTGGCCACGTCTTTAATGCTTTCTTAGATTAGATTACTGCTTTCATTTACAGCTTTGTAATTTAATTCTTTTCGCGTTTTCGTAGTATATAAAGAAATATCATTCACTTCTTCAAATTAAATTCTTTCACAATTTTCATACTTATATAAATCAATTTTAGAGAATTTCATATCACTGGTATAGAGCGAGAGACGAATTGATTAATTAAGCCTTGTGATGCGCCAAAAGCGGTCTCAAGGTAGTTCAACGTAGTTAAGTACGCGGGAGCCTTGTCGACCTACTTAATTACTGTGCTAAATTTGATTCTGATAAAATAATACCAACATCAGGGGGTAAAGCCACTAATGAGGCAGAATTGGAAAAATTAACGGGACATAGACGGGGTCTATTAGGTCGCAAAAATTCCTAGTGACAGTAGGGTTTCTTTCTTATAATGTCTTAATTCTGGGTGTCATTGAAGTCTTGTTGTAAATCCCCCCAGGCCAAAATACCAGTGTGATGAGTTCTTTATAATCGAATATATATAATTACAACATCTTTCTATCACCATTTTCGTAATATACATATATGCTTCCGATAACACATTTACGTCATTCGCTCGCTGCATCCAGGGAAATCTATCCATTTCGTAACGCACAGTTCAGACACAACACCTCTTATTCACTCTCATTCGCTCATATACATATACATATAATATGCCGCTCACTCACATCCCAATCCTCTCACTTTCGCTTCGCTCGTCTCCGCTCATTTTTTATTGCTTTGTTTACCGCTTTTAGTAGTAGAAGATTTAAGCCCGCTTCAAGCGCCCCCTTTTCGTTTCTTCGTCGCTTCTCCAAGATTTTTATCATTGAAATTCATGACTTTAAATCCCTGTGTTCGACCTGGAAACTCACCAGTAAAAGAGTATAAATAATTGTGATAACTATCCAGGGTCTGCAACCACACAATTGCTATATCTGATTGTTCTTCTATAAAAACTCTACTCATTGATTTTCGAATAAAATTCCCTGCGAATTGATATACAACCTAACTATATACAAAACCTGTTATCACCTCGCCTTCACCGTTGATGGGTTATTTAAAGAATCATGCAAACCGCTTATTTTCCAGGTCTGATCGGTTACGCTAAATATGGACTAACCGACGGCGGTTTCCGACTCCACGACCACCACCTTTGGAAAGGTAGTTATATCGGGCACTCAGAAGGCTCTGATCTCCCTAAGCTCCAAAAACGGCCCGTAAACTGTTCTCAACAACTTAATGATTCTGACATGGACCGAATTCTTCTGTATTCAATGCCTGTTACCCGACTAGCACCAAACCCACAATGGATCAAAAATTCTTGGGCTTGGCCTTTAGTGGCCTCCTTTTGGTCATAAATTCAACAATATTATGTTCTGGCCGAACCCTAGAGTCTGATTTTAGGACTCGGTTCATATTTCTTTGCATCTTATATATATATATATATATGTATGATTGTCATTTACGTTATTCTACGTATCAAACTTGTAATGTATAAAGCTGAATGCTAAAAAATACTTCATTCGTCTCATATCTATTTATTTATTTACTTTTTTTACAGAATTTTAAAAATATTAGTATTATATTGAGACGTAGTAGAAATAAAAAATAAGAAAAAAAGACTAAACTAACATTATTAGTATTGTATGATATAAATGTAATGACATTTGTGTAATATATTGTACATTGAAATGATTGTTAGGTAGATAGTACAATTACTTAAAAAAAAAAATGACTACTTTGTTATAAGACAAATTAAAATAAAAAAATAGATAAATTATTAAGGAATGGAAAAAGTATGTTTTTAGAAAAATAATATTTTATGAGCATAATCAAGAATTTTGAAGTTATATGATCAACTTTCTACTGTGTTTTTAACTTAACTTACACTATTATATTTATATTTATTTATTATAAAATTTAAACAATATTTTAAAAATACCAATAATATCACAAAAATAATAAATAATAATAATAAATTAATAGCATAATTATTATCAGTAATTCTCTAAACCAATAGTGTTCAAATCAAACACGTCCACTGTTGCTGTAGAACAAAGAAAAATATATAAAAGTATATTACAACATTTGATACTCCCTCCGTTTCGGACATTTCGTCAACGTATTACTGCTGACACGAGAATTTAGGAGGGGTATAATTAGTAAATAATTAAAAATATATTAGTAAAAATAATTATCATATAATAATAATTATTATAAATTAAAATTAATAATAATTGATTAGTATAATTAAAATTAAAAAAATTATAAATTAATTTTTTTAAAATAAAATTAAAATGTATAATTCTTTTCCAGAAAAAAAAAAAAGTGACAAAATAAGTGGAGAAAACAAAAATGAAAAGGTGGACATAAGAAGCAGAACGAAGGGAGTATAATTTATGGAAAGTAGCACAGGATTGACGCTAGTGAAAAATATAAGCGGAGATCCTACCTAAAATAATATTGTTTGTCTTTAAAAAATAAATAATATAAATGCCAACAGTCTCATGCTAATACAGTTAGTGAAATGCTCTCTCTCTCTCTATATATATATATATTCTCTCTCTCTATATATATATTTATATAATATGGTAATCAGCAGCCGCTATCCATCAACTCTAATCGAACCTTATAGCTTCTATATTTTCTTACAATTGCAAACCTTAAGGAGCATATTACATAACATAAATTTGTTCAAAAAAATCAATTATATAAATGTATATATAGATATATGTATAATTTATATGAAGAAGCTCATCTTGTATTCCTTAATTTGTTTACTAATACTCCCTCCGACCCACGAAATATGGGTCTATTACTGTAGATACGGAAATACGAGAATTCAGGTAAAATATAATTAGTAAGTAATTAAAAAGTGTATTAATAAAAATAATTATTATATAATAAAAATAATTATAAATTAAGATTAAGATAAGTAAATAGTTTAATTAAGATTAAAAATATTATAAAATATAAAATTTAAAATGTGATTAAAGTATATAATCAATATTTCCGAAAAAAAAAAGAAAAAACAAATTATGCGGACGGACGAAAATAAAAAATAAGGACAAATTATATGGGACGGAGGGAGTAGTAATTAGGGATAGAAGAGCTTGGTAAACAAGAGCTCATTCCATGTATCTTGAAGGCCTGGCAGACACCAATGAACACAATCTGCATAGCTCACTGGATCGGCAATCTCTTCTGGTGTTAAAGCCCTCCACTGCTTCTTGTAAATTGATGTGTGCGCGTCTTTCCGGTACCCCGACAGCGCTGTGATGTTGAGATAAGTTATGGAAACTTTCGACTTTTTCAAAACCTCATCTATCACTTGCATTATGCCAGCGCTTTTCCGTGAATCCGATCCCCAATACGCCGGGTCTTCGATCACATTTGTCTCGTTGTAGCAGTTGCCTCTCTGATCATCTCCTCCCCAGTCATTGCTGAATCAAGAAATATTTTAATTAAAATTAAAAAAAAAAAATTCAAAATTAAAATTTAAAATGTGATTAAAGTGTATAATTATATTTTTTTTTAAAAAAAAAGTGACAAATTATGTGGGACGGAAGAAAATATAAAATCTGGACAAATTATGTGTGATGGAGGGAGTATATTTTACATGTATAAATATACTAATTGTGCTTAAATCAACAATATATTATACTATGTAAAATTATATTATATGCTGTTAGAATATGTATGCTTTATTGCTTTATTGTATATGTACTAATTGGATCAAATTAATCGATATTATGCTTATTCGATCCAATCAGTATGAAAAATGAGACGATATATATGTTGTACTTACATTGCATGGGAAGGTGACATAGAAGTGAAAAAGACTCGGGTTTTGGTGGGATCCATGTTTTGGTTGATCCATCGCGACATGCCTTTCATTGCCATGCGGTATGCTTCCTCCTTTGGGATTCGGACAATATGGCGTTTGTTTTGATCCGCCAAGGATCCTTTCCTGGTAATTAATTGCAAAGGACATGAAATTAGCTAGGTTAAAATTAGAAAAAAATAAATAAATTGAAAATTATTAATTGTATTTCATGAAATTATTTAGATAAAATATGTAATGCATTTGTGGTTAAATATACGTACAGTAATACGTTGAAGCGTTGGCCAGTCATCCACCATAGGTGTGTGTTGAAGACTATTATATCAACTCCTTTCCAGTGTTTCCCATGCTTGTTGATCGACCCTTTCACAACCACTCTATCACTTAGTTTTATTCTGTGTGACGATGCGTCATCGGAGTTGGATTCAAGGAGGAATGGCGCCCAGTAGAACTCGATCGTCGCATTGTAATCCTGCACACCCATTCATGTGTATATATATATATATATATATATATCTTAAGAAAATACATACATAGGCAGAGACGAAACGACATAGGATATTTTTTTCTTTTCTTTTTTAAATAAATAAAAAAAAATTATGTAATTTTTAATTATAAATTTTTAAATATAAAATATAATATTTTATTCTAAATATTACTCCCTCCATCTCAGAAAATATGAGACTATTACTGTAGATACGAGAATTTAGATAAAGTATAATTAGTAAATAATTAAGAAGTGTATTAGTAAAAATAATTATTATTTAGTAAAAATAATTATAGATTAAGATTAAGATAAGTAAATAGTTTAATTAAAATTAATAAAATTATAAAATTTAAAATGCGATTAAAGTGCATAATTATATTTCCAAAAATAGAAAAGACAAGTTATGTGAGACGAACGAAAATAGAAAATATGGACAAATTATATGGGACGGAAGGAGTAATATAATTTTATTACTCCCTCCGTCCAGCTAGAAAGTATACATATTTCTATTTTGGGACGTCCAATTATAAAGTAACCATTTCATTAAATACTTCATTTTTTCCACAAATATCCTACTTTACATCACATCATTACTTTTTTACGAAAAAAGTAAAGGCAAAAATGTCATTTCACTACTTTTACCTACACACTATAATTAAAATACTATTATTCCTTAATCTCCGCGCCAAAAATAAATGTATACTTTTAGCTTGGACGGAGGGAGTATATTTTTCTCTCTTTTTTTCTTTTCAATTATATATATATATTTTTTTCATTATCTCACTGTAATGTCAAGAGGAATCAAAAGAGATAGAGTAACTCAAAATTCAATCGAAGTGAATCGACAAGTTAGTTCTTACAACTTTTTTTTTCACACACAAAAAAACCAAATTACCTGATTAAATAAAAAAATAAAAATTTAACAGTTAAAAATATGCTGAAATTGAAATAGAATAGTCAAAAAATAAACAGAAAATATAAAATTTTAGCCCCCAAAGTTGGAAAGCTAATTCTGTCACTATACATAAGTAATTAATCGTGTTAGTTGTCGAATCGAGTACTGCAATATTCATCAGTACTACGTACCTTTGCCTTGAAGACGGTGGTGGAAGAACCAATTTGAATGGACTTGGAATTGTTGGGGATGATCGTGTGGAGAAGGCAGATCAAAGAGACGTACTGGCCTCGGTTGAGGGAATCGCCAACGAACATCATTCGCTTGCCTCGAAGCCTTTCCAGCATTAGTGTTGCATTGAAACTGCACTGCATATAATTATATGGGCTTTGTTCATCCAATACTAATTTCTAATTGCAACTTTTTAAAAATAATATTTCATTCTTCCTAAAATTATAGTATGAGTTATGTTCGATACGAAATTTAAGAAATATTGATATTATATTAGTAGTGGGTAAAAAGTATATGTAAAAGACTTTTTTTGTCTTTGCGAGTGTATTAGTGTAAAAAGTAGTGGCAATTGTGTAATAATAATGAAAAAGTAAGGATAATTTTATAGTGATATGATTATTTATGAAAAAGAGACTATTGTTTTAATATGAACAAAAATGGTAAACAAGAATATTGTATTGGGACGGAGATAGTACAAAATATTTCTATAAAAGTTAAAAAGTAAAAAGAAAATTCAAATACTCATTACAAAAAATCAAAAAGTCGAAATATTCGACTTAAAATAATATATTTTATATTTTTGACACAATTATCTGTATCACACCAAAAATCAATTCATTTAAAAAAAAAAAGCATCATATATGTACCAGGTACACAACACTAATTATTATCGACAAATTAAACAGAAGTCGGCAAGTGACCAAATATACAAAATATAATAATGAGTTTACAGGAATATATTTGGAAAGAATTTGAGGTATTTCTAAAGACTGCGCTTAAAAACTAACACTCCTCCGTTCACAAAATTTACGTTATGTTTTTATTTTTACTTTTACAAAAAATATACTTTTTTAGTCCCCATCAAAAGCATCAGTCTAGAATTTTATAGTAAATTAATAAATAATATTTTTTGATTGGTTAGTGGATACATGTAAAATGTTTTGATATTTTCTATTATATAAAATTATGGTATGTATAATGATATATTTGTAATGTAAATAAAAAAAAAATATGTAATAATAATGTATAATTAGTGAGACACACAAAAATAGTGAAAAAATACTTTGAGCTCGGGACGAGATAGCATATAATTTTTATTTATATATAGATATTTTTTAATTTATATTCTTCATTATTAAAATTATTTACAAATATGTTACAATTACTTACACATTCACTTTATTAAAAAAATATTTCTCATTTCATGAAGTCACTCCTATACTTTTTCAAATATATATCTTATGTCAGAATCAACTAATACTTCATCCGTTTCAAAATAATAATCTAATTTTGTCATTTTTATTTGTTTCAAAACAATAGTCTCATTTTCATTTTTTTTTTAGTAATAAGCTTCCCATCTTTTTACAAAACTATCCCCACTTTGTTTACAATAATTACATAAAGACAGGCATTTTGTTCTTTTAAAAATATTTTTATACCCACTGTCAATATAATACTATTATTTGTAAATTTTTATGTTAATTCCAAATGTCTCTGTTGCTTTAAGATGAAGATAGTACAATATTATATTTATTAAAATATAAAATATACGTGCAATCCATATAAACAGACATTTTATCGATGGAGTGAGTAATATATAAGTATATATTAATATGTAAATTAAAATGATTAGTTTTTAAAAATTCAGTATTAGGTTTGCTAATCGTGCTGATTTCTAAACCTATACGTATATTTCTAAATACAATCCACAAGTGAAGTGCTAATTAAGCATGCTATGAAAATAAATAAATAAATAAATACAAATACCTAGCTAGCCTGTTTGTGATGAGTTTTCAATTTGAATTTTAATATTCACTCATTTTTTCTCCCAAAAGTATACAATAATATTCCTATTTCTTTTATATCACATTAAAATAAAATTTATATCTAATAAAGATCATATGAATTTATTTATAATAAATTAAACAAATTTTAGTTTAATTTAAAATCTATTAATCAAAATGCACATCCAACCCTATAACCTACAATTAAATGACTTTAAGTTCTCTAGTAAGAAATAATTCAGTGGTAGAATAAATTTGTGACTGTAAAATGTTCAAATCTCTGATACCTTCATGTTTCTCTCGCATATGATTTAGTCGGAAGTTATAATAATAATAATAATAATAATAATAATAATAATAATAAAAGACAAGAACTCTAAGTTAAGACCAATACCAATAATACAATTAAAATAATACTTTATCCTCTAACATTTTACTCTTTTCGGTAACATATTTAAATATCACACTACAAGAAAATATCAATTTTGTAACAAGAAATTTTTAGTTTCTAAATGTATTTTTTCTGTTACTAATGATATTAGAGACGAAATTAGTAATGAAATTACGTTAGCTACGTGAACTTTAGGAACATAATTCTGTTACAAATATACTAATTTTTTTTCTAGCGTCATGTCTTGCATTTATCGATAAAAACATGTGCATATGCAAATAAAAAAAAAAAAAAAAAAAAAGCAATTTTCCCATTTGGGTTTGTGGGCTCGGCCCTCTTTTTCTAGTTGTCAGTTTCAATAATTTTTTTTAAAAAGATAAAAAATTATTTTTATTCAAATGTAATCAAAATTTATCAATTTTGGCATAAATATAAAAATTTTATCAATTTTGGTCTCAATATAACCAAAACTCATCATTCTTGGTCCCAATAAATTTTTTTTATCAATTTTAGTCTCAATATAAAAAAAACTCATCATTTTTTGTCCAAATATAATCAAACCTTATCTTTTTTTGTCATACCGTCAACAAACCAAAATGCTGACGTGGACTTGCAAGATTGTGCAATTTTTCAAATATAAATATAAGATTTGATTTCTTTTCACGTCAGCATTTTCCATCGGTTTGTTGATGATGGAACCAAAAAAGATAAAGTTTGATTATATTGGAACAAAAAATGATGAATTTTTGTTATATTGGGACTAAAATTGATAAAAAAATTTATATTTGGACCAAAAATAATGAGTTTTGGTTATATTGTGACCAAAATTGATAAAAAAAAATTTATATTGGGACCAAAATTGATAAATTTTAATTATATTGGGACTAAAAATAATTTTTCCCTGTTTTTTTTTTCCAATCAAATTTAATATTTCATCTGAGAAAGGAAATTACTTAATTGTCTAACTATCTAATATAATTAACATATTTATAATTTTTAATATATTATACAAATATTATTATTTTAATTTATCATAATCATATAAGGATATTTTTGTTATTTTCACTATAAATTAATATAATAATAATAATATTTTTTTACGTAAAAAAAATAAATAATCTTATATTTTATGGTATGGAGGTAGTAGTTGATTCGATTTAAATATGTTGTGAAAATAATTTTTATTTGAAATCATTTTGAAAATAATAATAAATTAAATAAAAAAATAAATATTTAATATAATATAAAAAAATATAATATTTCTCTATTAACTAACAAATTCAACAATTTGATTAATATATTGAAAAACACAATTCAGGGAATCAACATAGCAATAATAGTCAGTTGGGCACACAAAATGGAATTATTATCCTCCTAGTTTCTAATAATCATTAAATTCCCAAATTTAATAAATACATAAATAAAAATTTTAATTTTAAAAAAAAAAAAAAAAAAAAAACTTGGATGGATGCCCTACACAATGTATGTTAGATGCCATGATTGTTTTTTCTTATGGTGTTCTTTTGTTTATATGCTTGTCTTTTTGCTTTTTATATATTTTTTTAATATAATAATTATTGAATACATTTTCATAGGAAAATGTTTAAATTATATTTTAAAAAATATAAAAAAATTTGAAAGAAAAATATTATTTATTTGTGTTTATTAAAGTATATATATATATATTATATTATATTGTACTTATGAATATATCTTTTATTTTTTATAATATTTATAGAGTATTATGCTATTAAAAAATATTGGATGAACAGATATTACTTAAGGCATCATTTGTTTTTTATTATTGTATTTAATATTTAAAATATTTTTATATTTGTATAAATTATTTACAAATATTATTGTATTTATATTATAAATAACTAATAGAGATATTTTTTATTTTTTACTTTTTAATTTCTACTGTATCAATATAATTAATATTCATATATATATATATGCATACAACATTGGCATTCTTATTTTGAGACGAATGTAATATTTTTTTTCTAAAATAAAAAAATAAATAACAAAAAGATACAAATAACATTAAAATTCATGTACAAAAGTTTTGAGCCTATTTATATATATTATATCAGAGGAAATATTAGGTGTATTTAGTTTGTATTTGAAATATAAATCGACACTATTTCGCGAACACGATTTTTAATATAATATACTATTTAATATTATAAAATATCAAATAAAATAGTATTTAAACTAAAACTAAGTCACAAACCCAATTTCGAATTAAATCAAAACCAAATTAATACTCCTCCGTCCACAAATTAAAAAAATGATTGTCATTTTTCTATTTTTATATATAGAATTTACCTTTTTACCCTTATTTTATTTATCTTTTATATTTATACACAAAATAAAGGGCTATTTTGTCAATTTACAGCAAAAAAACTAACTACCTAAAAAAATGTGTAAATATCACTTAGGACGTTAGAAAATGGTCGGAAGGAGTATAATTTATTGAACATGAATTTAGTTATAATTGATAGGAAAAGAGAGATAATGTGATATTGACTAGGTGCGGTGTGCTGGCTATAGCTAAGAGATAAGAAGCAGCAGCATCAGCTAGCAATTCAATCGTTAACAGTAGCAATCGACAACTTTCAATCCAATTCATCGATTTCTTTAATTAATAATAATGTTAATAACTAATCTATCTCCTCTTCTCTCCTATCCAACCAACCAACAACTAATTGATGTCAACGGAACGGGTTTTGTAGGTCCCGGGATCCGCTTTGCTAGAAAATATTAGGATCCAAGAGCCGTTTCGTTTCGCTTCAATCCGGTCCTAGGACCCGTCCTGCTTCGAACCCGGAGGGTTCAAAGCCAACCCGATAAATCCGTTTTTTTTTAAATAAATAAATAATTTTTTTAAAAAATAATTTAATACTAAAAAAAAGTATGCGTTAAAAATACAAAAAAAAACATTATAGTTCTAAAAATAAAAACAATCAAATATTAACGATAGTACGTAGTGATGCGAAGATCAATTTGATTTACATTGAAGATTCTATTTTATATTTAAAATATTTTAAATAAATAAATAATACTCCATAATTTATATTGTATAAATATATAAATGAATTATAATAATTATTAAAATATCTTGGTTCGAGTCCGAGTCCGGAGTGGGACAAGTTTATAATAAAACCCGTAACCCGCCCCGAACCTGACCGGGTCTAAAACTCAAAATCCACGCACCATCCGGAACTAATTTTTAAAGACCAGAACCTGCCCAATTATGACCGGGTCCGGGCGGTTACGGACTACCGGCCCATTTGACATCCCTATTACATACCTGGGAAGATAACAGGCATGAGGCTGCCATCGCCAGCGCTGGTAGTCTTTATCAGGGCGGCCGTGTTGTTGGCAGGTGAGCTGCGGTTGGATGTAAGGACACTCCTGTTCTTCGTAGTACAACGGTCGGTTGTCGCGAACCCACCTCCCTGCAAACACATCACAATCACCTTCTCCGACTCCCATGGCAAATGGCTTTAGCCCAGACTGGTTCAGAGTGAGACGACCAATATCATCATCATATGGTGATGGCTGCAAGTACTGTAACTGTAACTGACTGCTTCTGTGGAAGATGATGACGACGGACACCAAGCCAAGAATTGTGGTGGTGAATAGAAGAATTAAAATGAACAAGATTTGAGGATAATTAGGGAAGAGGAGGTTGTAAGAAGCAGCAGCAGCAGCAGCCTTATGGAGATGGAAGTAAGAACACCGAGACCAAGATGACGATGAAGATGAGGATGAAGATGATGATGAAGATGAAGATGAAGATGGCAACGGATTCATTTACCCTAGCATTGAATTCGAATTGGGATCTATCTATCTATCTATCAATCTCTTTCATTTATACAATGATTAATTTATGGCTATGGTTGGTTGTTTAAACAGGAACACGCCCAATCTCTAATATAATTAATTAGTACAACTTACTTAGTTTTAGTTATATAAGCTTACTTGCCCTTATGACAAAGGACCCTCGGTTTAAAACTTACACAGTTTAATCAATTATTTTATAACATTTGTTCTGACTTTTTAATATTTTTTTTAAAATAAAAAAAAATAATTAACTTAACTAAAATTATAATTTACCTCTCCAATATTTTATTTATTTCCTACCATTTTTATTAAACACTCCCACCCAATTTACTTTTTCTCTTCCAGCCCTAATCTTTTAACAAGAAAAATACTTCGATGAAGAAAAAAAGAAGAGGGGGAGGAGAGATGATGGCCGCTTCGGTGGAGCAGACCCCAATGGCTGGTGTCGCGGTCGACGACGAGTAGAAAAAAGGCTGAACGGCGGATGGTGGCTTTGGCAGCGGCGCAGGGCGTGAATCTATGATCAATGAAGGGGGAAGAAAATAAGAGAGAGTTGTGAGGAAGAGAAAGAAATAAAAAATGAGTGCAGGTTTGGGAAGTTTAATTTGGGAATTATGATGAAATTTGGGTGGCCGTCGGCATCACGAGAAAATTAGGGGTAGAGAGTCGATGATATTACGGGAGAAAAATTTAGATTGAAGTGTTTACGAATGAAAGAAAAAATAAAAGATTGGAGGGTAAAATTGTTTTTTTTATTTTAAAAAAATATTAAAAAGTCAAAACACATGTTATAAAATAATTGATTAAACTGGGTAAATTTTAAACCGACGGATCTCTTGCCCCCAAGATTTTGTTATGTTTCGATGCAAATATCACATTTGTTTATCAAAAAAATATAATAAATAAACTCCATTCTTCTTGCCTATGTATGTATAATGTATGTAACTAGTAGGACAGCCATTGCAAATTCTAAACATACAAAAAATGCTACAAACAAAACGCAACAATGAACGCTAGTGTGTGCATGTGAGCTCGAACCCTGTTCTTGTCTGTGTCCCGAAATCATTAATCAATAAAATTACTTTAATTTTATTTAAATTCTAGCTGAATCTATTCAAAATTTTGTATTTCTATCTCTATAATCTATAAACAAACTCCATATTTATTTATATAATTAATTTATTTTATAATTATAAATGAATATATATATATTTCTTTTATGCCCTTTGTATTATATAAAATTTATTTATATTATATATATTTTATTAAAATTCAGTCATTTAATTACTTAAATACACATTTTAATTTTTTTGTAATCTTATATAAATATATTACATTATAAATTAAATATTGATTAAATAAATCACTTCCAACCAAACTTTCAATTAAAAACAACGTACCCTTTAAACCCTTTTATTCAAACTTATCAGTGCAGCACATATTCGTAGAACTTTTGTATTCAACAAATGCATCATCATCCAGTTAGCCACATTTCTTCTTTGCATACAACACAACAGCTCTGCTGCCTGTCTCTCCACATAAACCATAACTATCTGTACCTAATTCCTACCCCAATGTTTCCACCTCCGTCTTGTTCTTGAAGCAGATGAGCTAGACATACATGCGCAAATACACGGATAAATGTCGCTCGTCGTTAACAACGGGGATTAAAGAAGGGTTATATCCTCGGACTAATATGTTACTGCATCTGCTGCTATAAAGAATGTGACTACCTCGAGCAAAAATGAGTTCGAATTTTCCAGGCCAGATAATCGTGTAAATGCCTAATGCGGGGACTTTGAAGTACATAGTATTTGATGCAACGGAACAAATCAACTGCCCTGGCCTAAAAATTAACCGGTGAATATGAACTCCTGTAACCATGTGAAGGTCCTCGGAATCGCCTCAATAAAGAGAGATAACAACTCTGGAAATGATAAGTGGTAACAAAAATCATAATACAGTATGTGTGGAAACAGGAAAACATTCGACAAGTTGGAGCACTTATTGCCAGTGGCATACCTGTATTCTATGCGGTAAGCTAGCCCAAAACTCCAAATTTGGAATCACCTAGAAGTGAGGAAATGACATTTAATGAATATACGAGATGAGCATACAACTATGAATGATCAATTCTTGTCTTTGTAGATGCTATGAAATGTACAGCATTTCAGTAGTAAGCGGATACCGTAGACAGGATAACAATTACGATGGAAATGGTTAGTTTCATAGGTTTTAATTCAATTGAAAAATCAAGCAGTTACTGGGAAAGGTAGGTGTTCTTACATCTATACCACGGACATGCAAATAGAAATATCGGTAAGCTGCTCCACCCACTAAGTAAGCTCCAAACAGGCATAACAATCTGCAAACCGAATTCAACAATATTAAAACAAATTAAAGAAGCAGCCAGTAATAAAATGGAAGGCTCTAAAAATAAAACATAATACATTATCACGAAGGAGCCAAACCATCCTAATCCACCTCCATGAGAGGATACAATCTTGGCACAGCCTAATGGATGCTTTAGCTCTGTTTTCTGTCAGTGGAAAAGAAAAGCAAATTTGTGGGTAACACTTGGGGATCATAAGCGACCAGAATCATTTATACACAAACAATTATTTTCCGATAATTCCAACATCAGAAATCAGAAAGGTTTTTCCCAAAAACTATTGCTAGTTGTATACTCACAGTGCAACAAGAATTCTGACATAGGTTATTCTAGTGTATTTTTCTTGTGCCTCTCGTGGAGTTTTTAATCTATATATTTTCCTAGATTGAATCTAATCAGGCACTTTCGCATCTCTAAGTCTAGTTGGCATATGTGCCTCAATCTACTTGCGAGCCAGGGTAACTAATATTGAGCATTTTAAGCTTCATGGCAATCATACTAGATTGGTGATCAGTTATTGTCCAGTAGGTGCTGCACCATTCTTTGCACCAGCCCTGGAATTCAATGCACACTACAGGTCTATCTAGCATGCCCGGCAGGAACCAAAATCATAACAAATTAACGAAACATACGAGGTGCAAAAGTGTAATTAGCAAATGGATTAAGCCACAGCACAGAGCAAATAAAGCAGAGTATAAGCTTGTGGGGCACAATACTTAATTGAAACTCACAGTTAAAAACAAAAAAGAAAATCATATATTAACATGATAGCTTAGTTTGAAAAAACTGAATGAGACTCCACAGGGAATTTAAAAACTCACAAAATCACAGACTCCAACAGCCTCCAATGTATGAGGGCCCTGTAAAACACCAATTAAGAAGCATGTACTGAAATCTATTCTGATGATTAAAGGGAAAGAGTGCAATTGCATATATGGACATAACAAACAAAATCATACTTTGACTCCAAGTGCATTGCATACGACTGATACAGAGAGCGAACAATTATGCATCAGGGCCTTGTTTGTCATTTTTACTTTGACTCCCATCTGAGGATTGTTTTTATCTGCCACAAAATGTGCCAATGAACGAAAAAAGTAATACTTAGGGTGCCAAAGTTTCACAATGATCGGTAGCCAGTGTTGGTTTCCAATTACTATAGAACCAATGAAGCTCGTAATGACATTCCACAAATTTTATTGAAGGAAAGATTAACATAACATACCAAGAACTTCAATGACTGTCGTTGAAGGCTGTCCAAGTGTTGTACAAACAGGATAGCCTGCACAACAAATTGAAGTTAACAAAAAGCGAAGAACAAAAGCACAGGGAGAAATAAGATACTATTTTATCACAATATACAGGCAAATGAGGTGACTGTATAGCATCAGCTGCCTTCAGGACAAGAACTTTCAAAGTAATGGAAAATCATCACAAGAAGAGAATATGTGAAAGACAGGAAACACTCACATAATTGAACTTCAGTTTCACGTAAGTCATAACTGAATAAAATGATCACTATCACATTACAGCCTAAACAAAACCAATCTGTTGCAAGTGGCACACTTTATAAAAATTGTTTATAACTTTATGTAAATCTTAGAACAACACAGTACTGTAGATAAAAATTCATTTTTCTTTTGTTTGTAAATATAAAAATGAATGTATACAAGGGTAGAAGGTAATAACCTCTTTTATTTAAACAACAAAAATGACTGGAATTTATAGTTTGTACAATCAGAAGGGGTTGATGCACGGAAAAGTTAGTATGCTGCCATTAATTCTGTATAGGTTTTCAAGGGCATACATTCAGTCATAGTCTGCAGCCTAAGTGAAACCTGGTACGCATTATTGTAGAATAGTATATTCGAGAGAATTTCCTACTTCTCCAGCCAATTTATGGGTGGTTGGAGAAAGAAAATTTCAGGTCATTTTGCTGACTTCATGATATCTGCTTGTTTAGATTATATTTAACCGATTACTTGTAGCTTCTAGCAAAACTAGAGTATATAACATTAAGCTGACAGGTGACTAAAGAGTTAATAGTCCCCCCGGTTTGCTTGTTTTGCATTTAAGTTACGTTCACAGGCTTAAGCAATAATTCCCACAAATTCTAGATTAATATTTGACCAAAAATATTTCACAAGAAACTGCCTGTAATACTTCAGAAGAATTTACCTTGAATTCTTTGGGACACAAGTGCATTGCAGCGCATACCACAGTTTGAAGAACCACCACAACCCTAAACAAATAAAGACAGCACCTAAAGGTCAAATTCCTAACATTTCCACCAGCAGTTACGACCAAGTCTAAGGATCATGTGAGTCAAGAGCATTTTAATTAAAATAACCACAAAGAATGAATATAAAATTTCTCGCGAAGTAGCATAAGCAGAGCACTAGTATTATTCTACTCACACTACCTTGGTTGGAAAGAGAACATGTTATAAGTTAAACACAGCAATGTGTTATACATCAATACAGAGGAGATCGCATCATAATAACTTAATCAAAATACTGTTGCAACATGTGGCCCTGTCTAAAATTTAAAGAGGGGTTAACGATGATTATGTCGAAAACAGCTTATATCAGTCGGCCATTCCAAATTAAGCCAGTAATCATCATTATCATCATCATCATTTTTATCCCTAACAAACATAATTAGTTGGTGTCCAAGTTCAACACATGCAAGTTGTCATATAAAAAATTTTCAACTACAATATTTAAATTCCTAACCACTATTTCAGCAATTGCAACTGTGACTAAAGATAGCCATATGTATGATTAGGAAAAATACTGATTAACTGACTCCTTAAATTTGTATAAAGTACATGCTAGACGTTGTAGAATGTTACCAATGCAATAAAGTCCTCACCTTACAATCAACACATGTAGGAGGGTCATGATTGAAAATCATTGAACTGCAAAGCTGCTCCACAACAAACAAAAACAAAATATCAAACTCGAAAACCAATGACTTGAATCTAACATAACCAACCACAGAACATCCACCTCGGATTATCAATCTCATCTTTTATTATTCTCTCACCCACAATAAATTACACTCCATGACCAAAAAGAGCTTGAATCTCATTCAAAGTTAGCCAACTAAAAATATCCAAAAAAGTGATATTTGGGTCCCACCATAATCACTACTATGCTTAACATGACAATGAATCAGCTCTCATCATCATCATCATCATCACCATCACCATTACCATCATACGGCCGTATCAATACCCCATATGACACACCATTAGAGATAGCCTATTAGAAATCTCTCTTTAGATAATATCACGTAAGCAATTAGCAAAGCAAGATCGGAAATCTCAACAGTAGAATCACTCCCACAATCTAAGCCTGTTTTATACAAGAGAAAGAAACATGAAATTGTGACCTGATGCCAACCTGAAACCAAAGCACGGACCCATTGGCAGCCACTTTATAAAACCTAAAAGAAAAAAGGTCATTTAGCCAAAAAAAAAAAAAAAAGGAGAAAAAAAGACATTCAACAGCGATCCTCCATTCAAGTCCGCTCTAAACGACCAATTACGTGTAACTGCGGAGCAAGTAATCAACATTACCTCAATAAAAATCGCAATCAACATATCTTATAGACGAATAAAGGAATAAGTAAAGGACACGTGCGATTGAACCTCGTACAAACTTCCTATGAACAATTAAGAAGATGAAGAGGATTCAACAATTTACCCATCTTCGCTGAGGATGCCGTGGGGGAAGCCGCGGACTGGAGAGGCCAGGCTGTAGTAGTAAACCTTGTGTTTGTCCTTAAAGGTGAGCTCGCATTGCTCGGGAACCGAGCCGCCGGCGACTCGGCAGAAAATCGTTGCCGTGAAAACCAGAATAATAAATCGCGGGATGACAGAAATGCCACCAGTGTTCATTTCTTCTCCAGGAATCACATCCCCGACATAAAAATTTCAATATTTTCACAAAGCGACCACGAAGACAAACGAATCGGACGTTGTTTCCAATGGAAAAATTGGCAGAAAAATCCAACGGAGGACGCTGGGGAGACGAAGAAGTGTTTGTGCGTTTGTGTGGACTTGAAGGCCCAATTCCCAAAAAGGCAATGGCCCAATGTTTTTTGTTCCGAAGACCAGGACCAGCAGGCCCAAATTTTGCTCTAAATTTACTTTAAATTATTTTAGGATAAATTATACGCGATTGTATTTTAATAAAAATAAACAAAAATACTTGTTTTTCGGAAAACGTTCTTCTGTTAATTTAAAAGATATAAAAGATATAAAATATCTAAAATAATTTTTTAAATAAAATAAATAAATAAATGATTGATCACTTATTTATTTTTATAATTTTTATATTTTTATAAAAATTATATAAAAATTTATCAAAAAAAAATACTTGTCAAATTAGAAAGTATATATATTTCTATTTTGGGACGTCCAATTACAAAGTAATCATTTCATTAAATACTCAATTTTTTTCACAAATACTCCTACTTATCATTACTTTTATACCAAAAAAGTAAGGACAAAAATGTCATTTCATTACTTTACCTGCACACTATAATTAAAATATTATTATTCTTTAATCTTCGCGCCAAAAGTAAATGTATATTTTTAGTTTGGACGGAGAGAGTATTAAATAAAAGATTAATCATTTATTTATTTATTTTATTCACAAAAAATTACTTAATATATTTTACGTTTTTTATTTATATAAAATTTGCATAATTTTGATTTTTATTTAGAATTAAAAATCAGCTTTGATATTTGTACAAATTTAAATTAACACAAGAAGTTTAAAAAAAAATATATATATACAAAATATTTTGCACTTTTTTATTAAAATATTATTTTGCGTGTGTTTCTTTTGCAACAATTTTGGAGTTTGCACTGTTTCGCAACTGTGCAGCTTGAGATGAGTGGGAAACCTGCCCGAGAATCACCAAATTTGACCGCCTACTTCCTAGGCCTGTAAAAAAATGATTTCTTGTGTAAATATTTATTTATTTGTTCTTTTTATCGGCTTATGTGGAAGAGTTTTTGGGTCAAATGGTAGTTTCTTTTTTATTTTAATATATTTATAATTAAAAATAATATATTATAAATTAAATAATATTATTATTATTAATAATAAATTAAATTTATTTAATATAATATAATATAATTAATACCTATCAAAACTTTTCAAATTCAAACGAAAAACATATAACTCAAAGCAACACAATAAATTAAACTAATCTTAAAATTCAAACTCAATCCAAATTCAATTCAAAATTTCTCAAAATCATTCAGAAGAAACACACTTTATAATTTAGATGTTACAACTTGTGGATGAAAAAATTGATATGATAGAAATTAATAAAATAATGATATGCAGAAGTATGATTTTGCTCCTTCTAAATTTCTTTCCTATTTTTTATATGTAATTTTATCACTTTTTCTAAAAAAAAAAAAAAAAAAGAAAAAAAATTAGTAATTTAAATATAAAGTATAACTTTCACAAATATTGGACGTCGAATAAATCAAACTCTAAGATTGACCGAATGGCATTGGAAGAAGTATTGAAGTGGATTCGGTCATGATAGAATTGAAGCAAAGACAAAGACAGGCCAAGCATATGGGCGGGATGCTGAATTATTAAGTTCAGCTCCTTATCCTTACTGATAAGGAATAGTCACGCGAAGTCATGCTATTCAATAATAATAATAATAATAATAATAATAATAATAATAAGGCAAAATTGTCCATAATTCCTTTGTAGTTTCGAAACTCAGCGTAAATTTTTCTTTTACTTTAAAAATTGCATGTAGTTTCGAAACTCAGCATAAATCCCAATTTTACGTTAAAAAATTACATGACGCTCACTTATACTTTCAAAAATATTGTATAAAACCCCCATGCCATGCAAAACATCTAGATAGGAAATCATCTTCTTATCACACGAAGAAAGTTTCATGGTGGTGGGTTTCATACAATATTTTTTAAAGTATAAAGGAGTATCATGCAATTTTTAAAATACATAGAGATTTTATACTGAATTTCGAAACCACGTGGAAGTTATAAGCAATTTTACCTAATAATAATAATAATGCAAGAACGTTATCCACGTGGAAAAGATTATTGCCATGAATCATGGACATGTGCTTTTTGTCTGAATTCTTTATTTCATGTCATTATTATTATTATTATTATTATTATTATTATTATTATTGTTATTATTATTTTTTATGACATAAAAATCCGCGGTCGCTACCCGAAAGTGCGTACTAAATAAATTTTCGATTGAATTTAATACCCTATAAATTAGATTCAATAGACAAATCACACTAAATGAACCATGTGTTACAGATGACCTAAGACAAACGAGATAACTGTATATATTCTATTTAAGAAGATAATACTATTAATTAATTTCAATTATATATATATATATATTCTATTCAAGAAGATAATACTATTATTTAATTTCAATTATATGTAAATGGTGTAACTACTTGGTGTGAAAGAGTACGGACAAAAAGTTCAATGGTAGGTCTCAATCTCCTCTACCATTGCACGTCACTCTTTTACCTTAAAATAAATGCTTATTTCTTTTTTGCCTTTTACGAGTTAGGGTTTTTTTTTTTTTTTTTTGAAGTTAAAAAAAAATTAAATTTATATTAAAATAATATTTAATTTGTTCACATTCAAAATATTTTTAATACCACTCAAAAAGTATCAATTTTTTCTTTACAATTAAACATACGATTATTTTTTATATAAAGTCAAGTGCAAAAAATATCAAAACTTTTTACACACCTCCACTAACTAATAAAATACTATTATTTTTTAATTTACTACAAAACTTAAAAATAATTGCTACAAATTGAAAATAATTGATTGAAATTTCAAAAATATTTGTAAAATAATTGCTGCAAATTGAAAATAATTTGAAATGTGTTTAGATACATTTGAGATTATTTTTTAATGTAATACTTTCTCTATTATCCAAATTTATTCCTATTTTTCTTTTTTTTATTGTCATTCAAATTTATTCTCGTTTCTCTTTATAGTAAAAAATACCATTTTTTCTATCTTTTTTATCATTAAAAAAGTTCTACTTTTATCGACTTTTCTTAAAATTTGTGCCCGATCGAATGGATATAAATTTACACTACGGAGGGATTGAATACATAGTAATAAACATTTTTTTTTATGGTGTGAAAATAAAATTTAATTTAACATATTTGATTAAAAATACATTAAAGATATGCATTAAGTATTTTTAAAATTCAATCTTAATAAAATATCCCCAGTAATTTGTCCACTTTAGTTAGGGCACAAAGTTTTAGATATTATGTAATTAGTAAATAAATAAAAAATATATTAGTAAAAATAATTATGATATAATAAAAATAATGATAGATTAAGATTAATATGTTTAAAGAGTTCAATTAAAATAAAAAAAAATTATAAATTATGAATTTTAAAATTTGATTAAAGTGTATAACTATATTTCTATAAAAAAAAAAAAACAATTTATATGGAAGGTAGGAATATGGAAAGACTAGACAAATTTAGTGGGATGGAGGAAATATATACTCCCTCCATCCCATAAGAAGGATACAATTTTCTATTTTTGTCCGTCTCAAACCAAGAGTATCCTTTTGTAATTTAGTAATTGTACATTTACAACTTACAATTTATTACAAAAATGTCATTATTTTTATAACACACCACACTAATAGGGGCATTTTTGTCATTTTTACTACAAACTAATATAATACTAATATTCAAAAATTTACGTGCAAAAAACAAACGGTGTTTTTCTTGCGGAATTGAGGGAATATTACAAATAAATATGATACCTTATTTCATAAAGAATTAAATTTTACACATAAAATATAAATAAAATAAAATATTGATATATTATCAATCCAAATAAATTAATTTTGCAATATTGTTATACCACTATTTTGAAATATCCGATCAAGTTAAGTGTCTATGAGTGTGTGTAAAGTTTTTGGTAATATGCCTAAGAAGACCTTTTCTCTTCTTGTCAATCTAGACAAAATACCATGTATTTTGAAATGCAATCCTTCATTGATAATTACACCTAGTTTCTTAGCAATTTATCAAAAAATAGAAAGTCTGAAGGAGTGTAAGTGCGGTTTTTCCAAATTAATTACAAGCCCGACAGGAAAGTCACACTATATGAACCATGTGTAGCGGATGACCTGAGACGTTGGGGATTTGAACCAATAAGGTTTTTGTTGTTGCAAAATGATTTAGGATATGGGTACTACATTTTCATTATTATGAGGTGTGTGTTTCTAATATACAAATTGTTACAATAAAATTTAGCAAATATACTTACTAATAAGGAACAATTGTAAAATTTTTAGAATTTACAAAACACGAAAAAATATAATTCAATAAAGTTTGAACAACCGTTAACATATTCATCCTTCCACAAAAATAATACAACTGCCTTCGAACGGAGGTTTATCCGTAGTATACCTGCTGACTGGGTAGCGCTGCGGATCACGTTATAAATAATAATAATAATAATAATACATCTGTCGCACCATATGGTGTGCAATTGCATTATTTTATCTTCAAAAAACTTTGAATTGTTGCGGCAATAATAATAATAATAATACATCTGACGCCTTTTAAGTCTAATTCGTGGCTGTCGTCTCTCCTCCGGCACAAAATCAGCTTGCGGTAACTCTTTTTTCCAGGTCAAAAATCAACCCGTCCATGAAGACAGATGTGAGCCACTGTGTCGTTTTTTTGCTCTTTCAAAATCAAACTTCGACACGTGGGATAGACATTTTTTTGAGTTTGGCCATTGTCTGTGCTCTAATAATGTCTGCCCAGCGAGCCTGAGCCTGAGCCCGAGCCTGAGCCAAAAAGTCTTATTAGAAACTCAGATGTATAATGAGGGAAGGTAAGAATACTAATAATGTACAGATCGATCGAAGCGAGACGAGACGAGACAAGGCTGCGTGTGTGCAAATAGTTGAGTTAAGCTAAGCTGCATTAGCCTGGGAGCAGAGGAGGATGGAGAGGTTTGTCTGGATGACGCCGCGCTCGGATTCGACCTTGCGGCTATAGCACCCGAATCTGTCGTCCAGCTTGTAGCTCTGCTCCACGGAGGCGGAGCCGGACAGCACGTCGCGCCCTAAAACGAACATCCATCCGCTGCACTCCTGGCTGTCCCGGAGCTTGCTACTGTACCCGCTGTCCTTCTGGTTCACCTCCAATGACTGCTCCAGCTTGGTCGTCAGCAATCTGCTGTGCTCGCCGGAGCCGTCATTGTCGATGATCCGCATTTTCAAAGGGAATTTGGACTCCACGTCGAGCTTGGCGACGGAGTCGCCGGACTTTGTCTTCACCCGGATTTGTGACTCGATCTTCACCTCCTGATCAACCTCTTTCTCGGCGCCGTTGCTCTTGTACTCGATAGTGTTCTCGAACTCGAGTTTACGGGTGACTTGCGTCGTGTAGTTGCCGAGGCTCGAGTTTACCCACCCGGACCACTCGCTTTTGCGCTCCCCCTCGATTTCGAACTTGCCTTCGCGCTGCTCGAATTTGTATTCTCTCTCGATGCAGGTTGAGGGGTTCTTGTATTTGATCGGGCCGGCTAGAACTTGCTGCCCTGATTTATCGAGCCATATGTGGAGATTGGCGTCGGCTAGCCAGTACCCGATAGCGTCGGGGATGTTCAGCCCGTAGTAATGGTTCCTACCGTCTAGAAGCATCCCGAGAAATGGAGTCAGCTCAAACTCGTAGGTCGGAAAATCGAAGGATTTTATCGCGGCCAGGGGATCCCAAAACAGGGGATTCACGCCGCCGCCGTAGATCACCGGAAACGGAATCGTTGACCCCACCACATTGTTGTTGATCTTCACCACTAGCTCTCGGTAGGCGCCGTGGCCGCGATTCGTCGGCAGTCCGTTCATGTCGAGGTAGGAATCCGGCGGATTGGCGAACCATGTCTCGTCGTCGCCATGAGGGGAGACGTATACCTCAATTACTGCTCGGTATGTATTCCGGGGAATCGTGATTCCCTGGATTACGGAATCCAATCCGGTGTTGATTTTGAACCAGAATCCGTGCTCTCCGGTTGAGCAGATCGGGATTATTATATCTGCCGGGTATTCGTCGAGTACCAGCGAGATATGCTTGTTCATGTCGTCTTCGAGTTTTCCGGCGGCGGCGGCGGCGGGGAGCAGCGGTAGAGAGATTTTTGCGGCGGCGGCGGTTGTCTGAGTATCGTAGTACAAGAAAGTGATGTTGAGGAAGTAACTTCCGTAGTGGATAAGGTCGATGGAGTTCTCGAGCATGACCGAGAGAGTGATGTTGGTCTGCCGGAGGAGATACTGGTAACGCGTGATGTCCTTTCGAACTTTCCAGAAGGTTCCTTCCGACCGGGACTGGGGCGTGCTCGTGCGGATGAGCTCCACGCCGGAGAGCCACGCGCCGCCGATGCGGTCGTACTGAGTTCCGTTACAGTGACCGGCGATTTCGAGGACCGCCCGGTTCCAGCTGCACGAGGGAGCGTAGTACGTCGCCGTCGCCGGAGGGAGGCCGACGGTGTGCCCGAAGGCGTGGGACAGGACGCGCTGGATAGACACTGGCGTCAGCTTCTCCGTCGGGAGAGGGCGGACCACGGCGATGTGCTCCACCGGCGGCCCGCCGGAGCTCAATCGATTTTCTTGGTGCGTAGAGAAGCGAATATTCTCTTGCTCCACCAGAACGGGGTCAGCGAGTATGGCTCGAAAGAGGAAGAAAACGTGGAGGAGGAGGAGGAGCGGCGGCGGCGGCGGCGGCATTTTGATGGCGGAGGAGCGGCGGGAGTCAATTGACTTGAATGATAGGTTTTACATTGTATTTTATTTCAATGCCTCTAATATATTATATTAAATGAATAATAATAAATATATATATATATATATAATGCAGTGATTATGCCACGTCAAACCTGTTTTTGTTTCAGATTATGTTTTTATCTCTAAAACTGCAAGAATTCCTGCTTATTTGGCAATATAGAATGCTTCAAAACCTTTCTTCTTTCTTTTGGCCAATTTATTTATGTTAAATTCACATCTGAATGCAAAATTCTCGTACTTTTAAAACTACTTCGTAGGTTTTATAAATTTTGTCACTAATTTTTCTACTATTTTTATTTAACGGGTATTTAACTTAAATGCGTTTAAATTGCGAATAAATTTTAAAATTTTAATTTTTAAACCCTTAAAATTACAAATATATATTTTTTTATATTTAACCTCAAAAATAAATATACTTATAGTTTAAAAATTGAGATTCTAAAAAATTTATTATTAAATATAGAATCTTGAGACAATTTCATCGAATCAAAAATAATTTTTGTACAATTTAGTCATTTATTTATATATTTGTTTAATTTATATATATTATAGGTGCGAATTAAAGGGCAAAGGCCAAAGGATGTACAGTGGTGTACTAAATTGGATGTATGGTTTCGAAAGTTGAATGCAACCCAAGCTGTTGGCCACCACTGATTGGACTGACGCCTTAATTATAACTTGCTCTGTTTATTTTTTAACATATCTTGTAGTTATTTTTAACATAGATCATTAGGGGTGTATTTATTTTTATGAGTTTCAAAAAAATTTAGTTTGAATTTGATATAAAAATAATGTTTGATGGGATGTTTTGTGAACGCAGAGTCCAAATAGTAAAATTTGGAAAAATTGCGGTAAAAAAACAAAAATAAGCAAATTTTCTTGCACAAATGACTATTAAAGCTAGAGCTTTTGAAAATAATAAAAATTGAATAGAATTTGATGTATTATGAGAAAAAAAAATGTTAAATTTAATCCTAAAAAAGTTATTTTATATTAATAATGTCAAAATGTACCAAAAGTATCTATATAAGCATAATCTAATACTTTTAGGATGATAGGATGCTTAAAAATTTGAGATAAACTTGTTAGAAGACAAAACAACACTTGAAATGGACTTACAAAGGGTTTCATGTCTTGGAAAATAATATTTTCAACAAGGGCACCAATTATTGTGTAGATATTTTATAGTGTGTAATGCAATACACAATTAATATCAATAGTATAGTCAGACTATGTAGAACATTCCTTAGATTAGATTGAATTTTAATATTTCAGCACCATACTATATCGACCCTAGCTGTCCCATAGAAAGAAAAGATCTAGAGTTGATATTTACACGCAAAGAATATAACATCAAATTTCATCAAAAACATCCTAGTAGTCAATTGATTACTTAAATTAGGTAACAATAAATTGAAGCAGCGAGAATAATCACAATTATACTATCCATGGTGACAGAAATCAAGGGTATGTTTGTTTTTTTTATTACAAATAAAAAATTACATTATTCAACAATATTGTTTCCAATAACCTATATTATTTTTTATCACAAAATATTAAATTAAAATATTATTTAAATCGACATTCAAATCAAAATTAAACAAAATCTTCGTTACAATAAGTTGTTGTTAGCCTCTGGAAGAAGTTGGAGAGTTTATATATGACAAAATCTCTAATCAATAAGTTATTTTTGAAGCAACATCTGTAGGCTATGAATGCAGGAAGGAACTGCCGATAATCGTGCTGATATGTTCACCAAATCGGTCTTTCATAGCAAGTTTCGACATTGTTTGGACTTGCTAAATGTCACAAGCTGGTAGTTGCCTGAGGGGGGCAAATTTGAGGCAGAATTGAGGAGTTTGTTTATCTTATATTGTAACGCATATGAAAGTGGAATTCAAGTGAAAGTGGAGATTTGTTGATATGCTTTGAATCTAGTTTGTCACTTTGCTGAATTGTCACGTGGTCTCAGCGAGTCAGGGGATCAAGGAGGGGGGGGGAGGGGGGGAAAGTCCCCTTTGTTTGGGATCTGGGGGCGTGGTATTGGGTTGAACTCATATGATGTATTCTCTTGGTTTATTTAAATAGACTTAAGGATACGAAATCTGAAATCTGCAACCTAGCCATCCTCAATAAATATGTTCTTTGTTTTTGCCCGTAGACGTAGCCAACACGTTGTTGGTGAACCACGTAAATATTTATCTTATTTGCGTTTTCTATTTTTTATTCGATCATCGACCATAATCCGGCACAACACATTCCAATGGTGGCTAATTTTCGGGAGACCGCTTGGGCCTACAAATTAATAAAGATAATAATTTTGGAATAAAATCAAAATAAATATCACCGTCAAGATATAAGAATTTTTGTCGTGTTAAATATGTTTCGGAAGGCATCCAGGCGTGTGAGATGGTTTCCGAATGAAGTTCGGGCACGTTAGATAAACGTGTCAAATAAAGTTTTACTCTAACCGTCAGATTGGTAGATTGGCGCGTCAAATAGCGTCAAACGGCGTGTCGGATTTTTAAATCGGCCGTCAAATGAATCTTGGATTGACAGTCAAACTTTTAGGTTGACGCATAAGACGAATTTTAGAATGACCATCAAACAATCTTATTATGATCGTCAGATGAATTTTAGATTTACCACCGGACAAACGTTTTGATTGACCATACAAACTCCTTAATTGACCGCCAAAATGAGTGCAGGTATGTCGCATCAGATGTAAGTTTTAGGGGTTAAGGCGTATCAGATATGTTTCGAAAAAAATACAATCATGCATTAGGTTTTAAGGTTTTACTTTGGTTGGAGATACAATATTAGGCTTATTGCCAATATTAGGCTTATTGCCAATATTTAGATATAAAACCTTGGTAATTAAATAATATATTTAATTTTGTTCACAAAATATTAGGATTTGTTACCAAGATTCCAAGAATATTTAATTTGAGTATTTGGATAAATTTTCAAATTTAGATATAGTTAAAACCAGAGAATATATTAATTATCTTAGATTTTTATTTTTGTATCGATGAGTTACATCCCTTCATAAGTACACTTAACTCTAGAGTTCTTTCAATAGGACTCCTGAAAATGAATGTTCACATTGTTGACATAAGTAGTCTATTCAATCCATTTAACCTCTTTCAATCTCGGGAGTATCATATCCTTCGTGAATCATATTACTATTCAACTGTAGGGGTATTACATTGTTTCTTTTTATCCATGTATTCTATTTTTCGCTCTTCCTTTTCTTCTTCTTTAATTTCTTTCACTATCAAATATATGGACATGCGTTTGATAGGAATTTAGGATTTAATTAATCTAAATCCTCCAAAAATAAGCCATTGGTTATCATTTGGTTGTAAATTTTCAATGGTAACATTTTAGCACGTCTATTGGAACCGAAATTTATCCTTATGGAAAATAATTTCGAATTCATCAAATTACGATCATGAAGATTTGTATGTCTCATGATGGATTATTTCGAAACAATGACATCGTCATAAGACACCAATGCCGTTTACACAGCAGCTTTAGGCCTAAAGCCCCACAACATCTATCCCAGACAGATTCACTCTAACACGGGTGAAAACTTCGACATGAAATAATAGCCAGGAGGCGTCAAACATGGCCACAATAGTAGTACGACCGTACTCTGTAAAGAGCTATACCAAAAACCCATTTACAGTATTTTGGCTACGGCCCACCGACTTCCTAAGTCGAATATGGTGTCAGAACGTATCAATTATAGCCGCTTACTTCGGTCGAGTTTGAAAACCATGGTCAACAATGACCACATGAATCTCTACCATTATTTACAAATGCCAACACCACCCAAACTTATGGTGTACCGCAAACTATGACACAAATTTAGAGCTATTATGCTCTAGGTTTCCGTACACAATGACAAGTCATATTTGCAGTTCACTCCACAACAGCGGAACACTCAACCATACGTCAACATTTCTGAAGTTGCGCCTTACTTTCACCAACCGTATACACTAGTGGCTTAGAGACCTAATGCTGCTCCGGAACCACTACAATGGAATCCACAACTTGCGGTACAACCTGCGCAAGTATATCCCGACGTAGTACAAATGGTACATGATGTTTTTGTGCCAATACCTTGACGGCCAAGGCCAAGGGCCACATGTACTTGCATACCAAAAACCTTTTTCAGAATAGGTTGAATGCAATTATCCATTGCTAGGATAAGTTAGGATTCCAAAATCCCTTATGTTTTCTTGAGAAGACAGTCAGTCGTCTGTGAATACGTGGCTGGATTTATGATACTTATTGAGGAATTATCACTTAATGAATCTTACAAGTGGCAATCGTTCCCTTTGACTATAACTAGGACCGTCTTCAAATGGTACCGGTCCCTCTACATGAATTTCATATAAAATAGACTTAAATAAAGTAAGAGTTTCCTCACAGGTTTTACAATATGTACTAGAAGCTACACTTACGGATTTAATGGAAATAAAACAAGCATTTGGAGAATCAGCCACCACATTTATAAAAAAAAAAAAAAATTCAGATGGAGAAAGGCTCGATGCCCTAATATTGCAATTAAGAGTATATTTTCGTGTTTACGAGACCTACTCATGGTCATGAAGTTCAAAATTTGACACAATTAACATCCAAGATGTCACACTTGGAGTGTGTTTTACAAAAAAAAAAAAAAAAGACGAGGCATATGTGATGAATGTTAATTTTCAATGATTGATGTCGTTGATACAATAAAAAGATACAAACTTCCAAATGTAATTGAGGAAGTACAACGGCGCTTGTATTGGTTAAGTCCTACATTTGCTCCAACCTTAAGCCTCAACAAGAAAAGCCATACCTAAACTATAGAATGAGAATTGCTTGTTTGATGTGACATAGACCGATGCAATTTTCGATGAACTTCTAAAAGATGGTCAAATTTGTATTCC